ATGCACATATTAGAGTCAAATAAAGATCAATGGCTTGGAGAAACAAGAGGCTTTGGGAGCTCTTCCTTATAATTCTGTTGCAGCTACTGTCAGGTATTATGGCATCTTGAGCAAGTCACTTCCTACTGTGGGCTGCTGGTCAACTTCTATGTGTAAAATTAGGAAATTGGGAAGATACCCTCTAATACTTCTTTCTGTATTACATTGTCATTGTTGGAAATATAAATTACATTTTGCTGAGTGTCACACTTTGGAGTTTCTTCTTAAAGCAGCTCAGCTGTGATTTTATAGAGCACAAAAAGAATTGATATATTGTGTGCCCTATAAAAGTTTGAAAATGAGAGAAGATTCATATTATTTAGTGGTAAGTGATACAGGAGTAAGCTCTCTTACAGTAAATTTGCTTTAAAAAAATCAAGATTTCATAGTAATTACTGAAAAAATATAGTTAGGCTTTATTGTGAAAAGAATCCCAAAATTTTAAATTAATGAAAGTGAGCTTATTTTAGCATTCACTTAGTAATACACATTATAGCTATTTGCTAATTGTAAACTTATTGAAGGAAGAATCAAATATTATTTGGAGGCAGTGGGAGTTAATGTAATTTTTCTAAGAAAATCCTATGATGACTTGTAGCCACATCTTTCCTTCCTGTGCATTTTTGCAACCCATTCATGAAGGCATGAACATGAGGAAAGAACTGAATCTTCCTCAGTATCCGCAGGTGCTCTCATCTAATAAAGCTTCAGGTCCTACTTCTCTAAGCACCTATGCTATCCTTTTCTGCTCACTCCTCGACTTTGTTCTGATTTTGTTAGATCTGTATCCTCTGCAAGACTTGCATTTATATTTAGGAAGCCCTTTTTATTTGCGATGTATTGCCAGATGTTTAAACCATGGCATGATCAGTGAGCATAACCTATCCAAAGCTGAAGTTGGAAATGGATGTTGTTGTGAAGTAGTCGGGGAGTAGAGGTAGGAAAGGAAAAAGTTTTCTTGGGGATCTTTTTAGAAACAGACTTTAGAACTGTTCTTTTCTCACTGTGTTGCCTTTTGTTTCTTGTACAGCCTAAGTTCCTTATACAATGAAACTTACTGGGCCTTTTCATAATATTGTATAGGGTAAGCTTTATATTTGTCAAGTCATTTAATCTCAAAATTTTCATGAAATTGATATTATCCCCCACTTAATAAAATGAATAAATTGAGATGTAATAAATGTTCATAGCTGAATACGGGACCAAGTTGTTTTGAATCCAGGTCTTCTGATTTCATGAACTGTGCTTTTTCTAGTACTTCTCAAAAGCTTCTATCATGATTTTAAATTAAAACTATTTAATATGAAATCTGTATCATCCTTAAGGAAGTATAAAATATCTCTTGAATTTCAGATAAGTTCAGGGAATATTTAAGTATCTATGTTATGTTACTGTTATAAGTAATGAGACATTTTTACAGGGCTGAGGACTTAGCTCAGTGGACCATGCCTGCCTGTCAAGTGCAAGCTCCTGAGTTCAATCCCCAGTACTGAAAAGACAATTTTACAAATGCCAAGCAGAGCCCTGAAATTTAATGTTTTGCATTTGTCTGCTTTTACTTAGCATTAATGCTTTTGAGAGTCATTCATATTGTTGCATGTATCGGTAGTTCATTCTTTTTTATTACTGAGTAAAATTCCACTGTATTATAACTTGTTTATCCATCAGCCAGGTCTTCCAATCTGTATGCCTGCCTTTCGTTCATTTCTCTTTCTTTCTTCCTTTCTCCTCCTCTTCCTTCCTTCCTTCCCTCCCTCCCCCATTCCTCTTTTTTTCCCTCTCTTTTTTAGCATTAGTGCATGGCTGTCAGAATAAAGCAAATCATATCAGCAAAGAGAATTTTAAAGTTTACTGTTGTGAAGTAAGTACAGATTGCAAACCAGGAGAATTCAAAATCCAGAATGGTTAGAAGTGCAGAGGTGGAGCCAGGTGTGGTGGCGCATGCCTATAATCTGAGCACTCCGGAGGCTGAGGCAGGAGGATGGCTGAGTTCGAGACCAACTTGGGCTACATAGTGAGTTCCAGTTCAGTCTCAACTGCATAGTGAGACCCTGTCTCAAAAAAACCAAACAACAACAACCACAACAGCAAAAAAAAGTGCAGAGGTGGACCCAACAGATGAAGGTGGGGACTTCCAGGTAGCAGAGACCTGGCTGATAACAATTACTTTTTACAGATTTTAGAGGGCGATTTAGATTTTATTTCTGATTATCAGAGGCATTTACAAGAAATAACCTAAGTTGAATTTTGCATACATTTGCAAATCAGGCAAGGCTAAATAATTTTTATGGGCTGACTGGTTCGGTCTGCTTGGGGGATTTCCAGTCTTCACCCTTCATTTTTACCTTAACAGGGCAAATGTTAGAGAGAGGTACAATTGCAGTAGACAACCTCACTTCTTTCCTGTTTATAGGAACAGTCGTACCATTAAGTATGTTAGCTTTGCTTTCTGATAAAGATGCCGTTGTCAGGTGGAGGAAATTCTTACTCAAATCTAGTCTCTTCATATCTAATTTTCTGAGTTTTTATCAAGAATCACGTATTGTTTTGTAATATACTTTTCTACATATATCAAAATGACTGTGTACATACATATATATATATATATTTTTAATCTATTAATAAGGTGAGTTACTTTGATTGATTTTCAAATCTTAAACCAACTTTGCATTCCTGGAATAAACCTAGGTATAAATTCTACCTTATGATATATTATCCTTATTATATTTTGCTAGGTTCAATTCAGGTTTTGAAAGGAATTTTGTGTCTATGTGTATGAAAATTATTTTGCGGTTTTCTTATGATGTTTTAATCTGGTTTTGGTATTAGGCTAATACTGACTTCATAAAATGATGGCACAATTTTCTTTCTTTTTGTATTTTCTGGGTGAATTTTCACAAAATTAGTATTTCTTCATGTAATGTTTGATATAATTCACAAACAAAGACATTTAGTCCTGGGGATTTCTTTTGGGGAAAGCTTTTAAACATACACTCAATGTCTTTTATATAACAGGTTATTATTGTTATTATCATTATTATTGTTATTATTTGAGAGTGCTTTGGTAGTTTGTGTCTTTCAAGGAATTTGTTTCATCTAAATTTAGGGGCATAGTGTTGTTCATATTATTGTCTCTTAAATAAACTGAAGGATACTATGATGCCTACTCTTATGTGGACAGAAACAGCCAAAATGGATAACTTGTGGCTTATAGGACATATCAGGCATGCTGCATGTTGGTGTGTGGTATGAGTTAGGAATGATTTTCACATTTATGTAATGGTTGGGAAAAGTAAAAGAAGGGTAAAATTTCATGATTTGAAAACAAAATCAAATTATAGTATCCATACATAGGTAAAGATTTTGTGGACTACAGACACGCTCAGTAGTTTATACCTTACCTATAGCTGTCTTTGTATTTAACAACAACAGAGTTGAGTGTGACCACATGGGCCACAAAGCCTAATATATTCATTATGTGACTGTTATATAATAAAAAATGATATGTAGTCTTGTCCAGGTTCCTGGTACAAATTTTCAATTCTTTGGAATTTTCTGAATGCTCAGAGTGCCTTTGTTATGTGAATTAAGTATCTCTAGGTGGGTCCTTAGCTTCAGGTTGGGGACTGGCCTGGGGAAAGAGCCAGCCAAGTGCTAGCAGGTTGACTGCTAGAGAAAGGGAGGGGGCTGGGCTTTGAGTTCAGTCAAGTGATCACTGATTTAATCAGTTATGCCTACATAATTAGGCCCCATGTGAAAACTGGACACTGAAGCTTATCATTGTTTCCTGGTTGGCAAACAGGTTGTTCTCTGGCTCCAGGAAGAGAGGGCATGGAATCTGTTCCTTCCTAGACCTTGCCCTGTTTGTATCTTCACCCCACCCCTGACCCCTCAGCCTGTTTCTTTGCCTCACCAGGGGTCAGGGTCTTTTCACTGAGCTGTATCCTCAGCATCTTTTATTTTGAGACGGCGCCTTGCTAAATTAAGTTGCTCAGGTTGGGCTCAAACTTGTGATCCTCCTGCCTCTACCTCCCATCGCTAGGATTATAGACATGTGCCACCACACCTGTGGCTACTAGACAGTAGCCCTGTTAATAAAATTGCAAGTCTAGCACTTTCAGTGAGTCTTAGGAATGATTCTACTGAATTATTGAGCCTAAGAAGGTCATGGGAACTTGGATTTGTAGCCATGTTGGTCAAAAGTGCGAGTAGCTTGGGAACTCAAGGGACAGTCTTATGGAAGATGGAACCTTTAACTTGTGGAGTGTGACACTAACTCCAGGTTGTTAGCATGAGAATTGTACCGAGGAATACCTAGTTGCTGTTAGACCAGTTGGATTAAAGCTGAACAGTGACTCTTTACAAAAAAATGCCGCTAATCCTTGTTTTAGACGTTTATCAGCTTTATCAATGTTTTCTCAGAAAACCGGCTTTTGATTTTGTCTTGTTTTACTTCCTTCGCTTCTGCTCATGTCTTTATTATTTCCTTCAGATGCTAATTTTGTGTTTAATTTGCTTATTTTTTTCTGATTTCTTATGCTTTGGAATTGTGCCATCTTTCCCATCTTCTTGCACAGTGACATCATTTGCAGTTTGAAATTAGCCATGGTGGGAGTATTTACTCCATGAAAATCAGCACATGTCACAGATTGTTGTTCCTCTCAACCCCCATCCTGACAGCCAGTTGTTAAGTATTTACTAGCACATTACTTGTAATGGCAACAACACAGCTCTTCTTAAATTTTCTCAGGGGACATAACAGGAGAAAATGATCTCAACTCAAAAGCTAATTCAGAAAATGGGAGAATTGACTAGTGAAAATGTGATTGAATACAGATTTTAAACTCTAAAACTCTAAAGGAGATTGTGCAGTCTTTGATTTTGAAGACACAAAGTGTAGGATGTGTACGTACCATTAGTTAGTGATTTCATTGAATTCTTTTTTCTTTTGAGGAAAATACCTTGATTAGATGATCTGCAGAAGTTCCTCACAGCTTAGTGGTTCTATGGTAAATTATTTCCCAGAAGGTGGCAGGAAAGCTATTTTTATTGCTAATGAAAAGCTGATGAGAGAGTTTTCGCTGAGGGATTGCTTAAGAAGCTCTGAGATTGCCAGACCTAATGGATGAAAGAGAGAGGAAATCACAGTGTTAGATAGGTAGAGTCTACGATTTGTAAGAACCATTAGATGCGTTGACACAAGTTGTCACTTAGGTTCTGTGGATGCCCTTCTAAAGAAAGTGTTCGGGGAATTCTTGGCCGGTTTCTGCCTTGATGTGAAAGCTCAGTCCATGTGTTGGCATTAAGCAGGGCTTCCATTAATTGATCAGAGAAATGCTGTTGTATATCACTAGGAGATACTGGAAAAAGCCCGTTCTAAAGGAAATTTCAGTAGTTAATTTCTGGGCTGCCACAACTCTTTGATAGCACAGAGTTTGCATTAAGCTAGTGTAATGTCTCTCTTCTATCCCTAAGCTGTGACTTGGCATTCTACGTTATTTAGTTTTGCATTCTGAGGCCCGGATGAGAAATTGTGCTGAATGAATGAGTAATTAGAAGAGTATTTGTTTTATTCCTTTATGAAAGAGATACAAAACACAAAAGATTAAAAAAGATTAAACTTCAGGAATATTGATAAATCATCCTTTTAAGAAGATGTAATGTCAAGTATGAGTAACATTTTAAATAACTTTGTTCAACTTAATCTTTGATATCTGTGTTTAATAGGCTGTATATAAATAAATTATATGTTTTTTCAATTTAGGAGCAAGTATTCTGGGTGATACCCATAGTGTGTTACTCTGAGTAGTCAGCGATAATGAAGCAAAGAAGACTCTTCAGGTAGTCCCCTCATGTTATTTCCCTCAGTTCAGCCAATTTTTAGTCAGACATTGATGGAGCACCTGATATGTGCATAGCATTGTTCCAAGTTTGCCTACAGATTAAAGAGAGAGCCTCTAGAATTCTAAATAAACAACATCCAACACTTATTATATGCTTTGTTTTCACTACTATGCATTTAATTAGGACAAACGTCAAGGAAGAGCACAAAAGGAACAAACATCCATAATCATTACCCCAATGTAACCACTATTACTGTAACCGCTATTCGTGTTTTCCACATGTGCCTTTCTTTCTATTGTGTATGTCCAAATGCCTGCTTAAAATAACATGTGAACTAGTCAGTGTATCTAACAGAGAGAGTTCTGGGGTTGTCTGGACATGAATTCCCTTCTGGTATTGCTGCTGTGCATCCTGAATTTGGGAAAGACCCTTTGCCTTTCTGGGGTCCTCTAATGGAAGAATTATCATGTGTCAGAGGATCTTCCCACTTGGAAATTCTGATTTTGCTGAAATTGAACACCCTGGAAGACTGAGCTTTCGGAATGACAAAATAAAAAAGATTTTATTACATCCATCTTTATCTCAACGATAAGACAGATTTAAGTCTGGAACTAGTACATATATTTCTTATTATGTCTTTAGGTTTCGTTATTATCCACTAGGACTTAAAGTTAACAAATTTCTCCAGGAACCAGAACCACAACCTGAATTGGTGTATTTATTTCAGTTGATAAATACGTTTTTAGGAAAATGTGAAAGCAATTTCTTTAAGCTTGATATGCTACTAGAAATAAGAAATACAGGCTCCACTACTTGAAGTACATAGCATTTTGTCAGAAAAGTATACCGAGGAGAAAAGAAAGCAGCTATATTACTTGATTCTTTTTGCACCTCAAGAAAATTGATTTTGCTCACTCTCTCCTGCTCTGTGCATATTGCAAAAATGTAAATTGGTATGCAAGAACTATTACATATTAGCCACCAAGCCTTTAAAAGTGTTAAAAGGTGACTGGTTTGCCTTAGAAGGGTCAGGTTGCACATTAAACGATTTTTGTTGAACAGCTAAGATGTCCTTTTACTTTTACCATTTTGTACTAGGATTTTTTGTATGCATTTTAACGGTTATTTAAGAGTCCCCATGTGCTTAGAAAAGAATCTGAATATATGTGCCTTTAAAAAAAAAAAGCTTCAACACAATTCAGGTTACTCCATCAATACCATCAAATGACTGGGTGCTATAGTGGGAACAATATGTAAAAATACAGCTTGTGAAAGATTTCCTTTATTAACTGTCATCATCCACAGAATATATGTTCAAATAAACGTTGTGTAATAACTAAATTTGAGATTAATAGGCCCCTTAAGAAACAGCGAAGTCATTCAGAATAGTCAGTGAAAAATAGGCTGTAAGACGGTAACGTGCACATATTGTCCTGCTTACATGCTCTCTCTGGTGTCATTCCCATTTATCACTGTCAGCCAGCTCTGTTCTCATTAAAACACTCTCGCACAAAAGCAACTTAATTTTCTTAAGAGGAGAGGACACCTGATTCAATTTAGCATCCAGAAAACAGTAAGTTGAATATATTTTTCCTTACCTGAATTGAGATGAATAATAAGACCAGCAACCTCCATTCTCCTTAAGAGTGAGGATATTAAATAATTTTTTCCATGATGGTGTCAAGAAATGGACCTGTAGAAATAGGCAAGAAATGTAGCTTTGAAAACAGCCAGATGTCAAACATTTACTCTGAACTTATATTTCTCTTCATTCCTGAAATATTTTTTGAAACAAGGTATTCAAGTGTTCTCAAATTAATCTTTTTTTTTTAATTGGTGAAAGCCTGGTTGAAAAGACATAGTCAATTATAGTTTCCAAATAGCATTCTACTGTTTAGCCATTGCTGCTTAAAATACAATTCTCTACATAAATAGAATAAAATGAAAGGAGCTCCTATAATATTGAGCAGAGTGCATAAACTCATATTTTAATTGGTTTCCTTTTGTTAGCCTATTTGCTTTTCTGTAGTGTTGCTAAATATTATTTAAAATAATACAAATATATAAATATAACTGAAATGTCACTTGTTACAAATTTTTATGGTAACAATAGTATGGAAATAGTAACAAAATTAGTGAAGGAGTTGCTAATGTGAAAAGTATAATTATCTTTGAAAACAATGAATTTTTTTTTTGCTTTTGTATATAGCACTTTTAAAAGTTTCTTACAAATAAAAAATTTCTGTATTCCTGTATTTAATTGAAGCTCAAGGATTAGAATTCAACCCCTGATGTTTTAAGTGTGTTTTTAAAACTGAATTTATGCTTAGAATGAATAAATTGTGGTATTTATACAGAGTGGAGTATTACTCTGCCATAAACAAGGATAAATGAGTCATTTGTAGGAAAATGAATACATCCTGAGACCATAATATTAAGTGTAATAAGTCAGACATGCTGAAATGTCACATGGTTTTACTTATAAGAGAAACCCAAAGTATAAATAAATTGAAGAGCAAATTAGAAAATAGATAATAAGAAACAGGGAGATAGATCTTTTGCAAGAGGGAAGAGAACCAAAAGATGGAAAGGTGGGGGAGGGAGAATAGGGGAAAGGGATAAAAAAATTAAGATGTTCTACGTACACGTATCAACTTTCCACAATGAATGTAGTCATCTTGTACTGCAGACATATATGAATAAATTTTTTTAAAAGAGAAAAAATGAATATTAAGGCTAGGTTTGTGTCCTGTGAATAGATAATTTGCGTCTTTAGAGGCTACATTCACACAGTCGAGGAACTTTTCCAGGGTAAAGCAGCTCAGTGTTGGTATCTAACAATCATGACCTATAGTCAGTTGTCTTTTCTTTACTTTGCCATAGGCAATGGGAGCCAGAGATTGTGCTAAATAAAACTTGAGATGCCTACTGACATTTTTATCTTAGAGGAAAGACTTTTTTGTTGCTTCTGGCCTGTCTGATTAGTCCTGCTTTATTTTCTCCGTTCTTTAGTCATGATTGTGTCAGTTAGGCTTGAAGTAATAGAAAAATCAGACTAAAAGTGTCACAAACATGCAGGGACTTATTTTTCTCATATCCGAAGATGCCTGGAGGTCACACTGCTGGTGCTTGCTCTGTGGTTCAAGGATGTTAGAGTGGGGTCTCCGATGTGCGCTTTATGGCTGCCAGATAGCTTTCATTGGCCAGGCGCGAGAAGGGGCGGTACCGGAAGCCACCCTCCCTACTTCCTACCATCCCTCGTATCTCATTGGCCAGGGCTTTATTGCATGGCTTCCTCAGCTTCACCTTTTTCATCTATACTTTTTGCATCATGTTTAAAACCTGCTTCTTTTTCCGAGATGGTTTCACATTTTCTTACAAGGGTTTTAAATTTTGCCTTTCCTATCTAGGTCTTCAATCTACCTAGTATTTTTTTCCCTTTCATGTATTGTGAACAGGCTAGTAGCATCTCCCTTCCATGTTGCTTGGAAATGGCAGTGGTGCCATAGATAAGTTTCTCCCATCATTTGCAGTGCTCCCTGAAGTAAGTAAAGGTCTTAGCATTCTGTGAGCCTGAAGCAGGAGGATCCCAAATTTGAGGCCAACCTGAGAAAGTGAGTGACTTAACAAGGTCTGGTCCAAAGATGCAGCTCAATGTGAAGTCCCTGGGTTCAATTTCTGGAACTGAAAAAATAAAGTCATGTATTTAGCAATTAGTATCGAATAACCCATAATCCAGGGCACTTTAGGTAGAAACTTTATATTCCCTCTTTCTTAACCTAGGCCATCCCAAATTTGAGGCCAACCTGAGAAAGTGAGTGACTTAACAAGGTCTGGTCCAAAGATGCAGCTCAATGTGAAGTCCCTGGGTTCAATTTCTGGAACTGAAAAAATAAAGTCATGTATTTAGCAATTAGTATCGAATAACCCATAATCCAGGGCACTTTAGGTAGAAACTTTATATTCCCTCTTTCTTAACCTAGGCCACATATAT